ATGACAATTAGTTAACATCTTGATATTTAACTATAGTTGGATTCATTCCCTTTAATATTCTTCCTTGAGTATTAATTAATTCCTATTCATATTTCATATTAATATTTTGAACATCACTTAAAGGATCAACTAGTTTTGATTCATATATTAATTATTACTAGAAACGATCAACGAACCGATGGTTAATCGTTGATAGTTTCACAAGTAAGTAACTTCGGTCTATTAATGCACGGTTGTGGTTAATAGACTTAAGAGGGATTAATTGTGTTGGTTAAACCAAAACCGCTTGTGTTGAGGTTATCGATCTCAATTGATTTCATCAAGGAGTTAAATGACTAAATGCTACTATCAAGTCGGTATACGGCGCTTGTTCTATACTTGACTAATAGTAAGGGTTATTAATGAACGGTCGTTGTTAATAACTATCCTCGATGAATTGGATATACTCCTCGATTGAGTATTCGAGAGGAGATAAGTTATAGATATAACAATGATCGACTAAAACATATCAACAAGTGGAAAGTAGCAGTACCAAGTCAATTTTATCTTTGAATTAAATCCCACATAACTCGTTCATCTTCGTGTTTAATTTAATTAAATCACTCAACAATCAAAACCCCCCTTTACTTACTATTTATATAAAAAGAAAGTTATTCCTTTCCCTGTGGATACGAACTCTACTACGCTATACTACGTATAAGTGTTAGTATTGAATTTATTTTGAGTGCACTCACGACAAAGTGCACGTCAGAATACTCGTTATATCAAAAGTGAATTGAACACAAATTCAAAACATGGAAAATGTCTATATACACTATGAACTTCTGCCCAAAAACTCACTTTTGGGCAATGTTCTTGAATATACTCAAACACTTTACATGTTGATGTGAATCATAGTTGAATCATATTTTATTGTATTTATTACATTTATTCCTTTTGGGCTTTACGGCCCTTATACGATGTACAAAAGTGCCTCTTGTTAAGTGGGAGGTAATTCGTATAACATTTAGATTAGATTTTTAGATGGAATGATTTTGTTTTATGTGTTGGGCTGAAAAATTGGATTGGGCTATAGAAAAATTTGGGTTGGGCTGGATAGAATTTTGTGAAAATAATACCTTAAAAAAATTAATTTTTTTTTAGTTTGCCCTGGGGTTCAGCCCACCATAGCCCTAACATAGATCCTCCCCTGGATTTAGATCACATGGAAACTAATAAGTTTTTAGGATAATTTTATGCAGAAAACGGAGAATGGGGGGAGGACATTTCATTACAAGTACACATACTTGTTGAGACAAATAATAACACTAAACTTATTGTTATATGAATATGTTTATGCCAAGTAGTTCATCATAGATGGAAACAACAAGAGATGTTTATGACATGTTTATTTTGATTTGATTCGAAAAAAGATTTGGTTATCTACTTGAAAAGGTCGTGGTTCATAGATACAAATTTAAGATAAGAATAGTCAAAATAGTTGGTTAAATTAATAGCAGTCCATCGTATCCACTTGCAAATCATTAGTTTTATTCCCAAATCATTTAAATGGGGTTCTTATTAAACTGTAAAGGGCAGCTAAGTAGATTATTCCAAAGAGAAAGGCATTTAGCTTGAGGAAAGGAAAGAAGGGGTATAGAAATACAGTAACATATGGAAGGATGACAAGAATAATAAGAATGAGTTATTTATTGGGATGATAGTACATCAAACAACACAATATACAGACATGGCAAATGTATGTATAAAAATGCTTTTATACATATGAAATGAATGGCAGCAGCAATTGGGGCAGATCTTCAAAAGTGTCATCATAATATTTAACGTAATATAGATACTCATGTCAGATTATATATTGAATGGAAACTCAGAAAATTGCATGACTCTATTTCAGTTAAAAGAAAACCTGGTGGTTAATAAACATGGTTAATCTGTCATATTCATGTCAGTTTATATTGAATGGAAACTCAGAAAATTGCATGACTCTATTAAAGGTTAATAGAAAACCTGGTAAAGGAAAAGGAATATGAACAGCAAAACAAACAGCAACTGTAGAATAGAAAATAGCAAGTGTATGTGTTACTCTCATATGTTTGTGCTGGCAAAGGAAAAGGAATATGACCAATTTAAAAGCATTACAAGAGAAATACCGCCTAATCAACTTTCTACCTCCCAGTTTGGTAAATGGAAGCCCTAAACTAATCAACTTAATAGGGAGGGAGAATGTTCTTAAATACATTGGCATTTCCCAGGTTCTTTTGAGCTATATGGCTCTTACTACATGTCTCGATGTTAACTTTAAATTAAAACAATCATCGACAACACACGAGTATAGCATAACATCATACATTGAAAACATTTTTCAGACAAATACACTACAAATAAAATTGCATACCTTACATGATGAAAACTTTCTTCTGTAAAGTCCAAAAGAACCCTTGCAGCCAAAAACAAAATCAAAAAAGGAAAATCAATATTATACCACCCATATTTTGGTAACTCAACACTTTAATAATTAACCAATATACTCTTAACTAAATTAACCACCTGCATTGATTTCAAAAAGAGAAAACAATGAGCTACTAAGTGCCTCGTTTACTTTCTTTTCCAGATGGTTGTTAAATATTTGGTGAGTTTTCCTATCCCTAGAGTGTCATTATCCCACTTAGTATCTTCCACTACATGGATCGTACACAAAAAGAGGAGTGAAAGACCGCAAATTCGAGATTTTTAGCTAGGTAAATATTAGAGTGTGGCAAAATTTTGTAATAGTATTAACCATTCAAATCATGTAATTGGTATAAATCATTACTCGTTTTACAATTTTAATTGTAATATTTTAATTTGTCCATGTAGATAAGGTGAATACCTTGAATGTATAATAGAATATTTCTTTCAACTGTGCACCTCTACAATTGTAAATGGCCGTAGAATCAGTTCTTCTAGATTATAAAAAAAGAGACCTTAAATACTCTGTATTTAACATAAATAGGCATATAGAATGTATGAGATTGGATCTAACTGAACTCCAAAAGAGCTCTCTACAGGGAATCAAATTTAAGATTCAATTCCAGGTTATGAAAACAATGAAAAGGGGAGTGTCATGTTTTGCAGCAGATCTAAAGGAAATTAAACAAAGGGAATAGAAGAGCAGGCAGGTTCAGACCTGTTTGTTTGTTTGTTTGAATTTATGTGGTAGGGGAGAAAAAATGAGGGTGTGAGCGCATACACACTATTATAACCAAGCAAGTCTTACAACATAACTCGTAAAAGAGACATATAAACCTCAATTTTGCTTATTTCATTAAAAAAAAAGAGATGAAATCTTAAGACTTACAATTCAGCCTAGCCAATTAAATGAAAGGCCTATATAAACCTGGTATATCTTTATAGAGCTTTAGTTGTTCATATTATTGTGTGAACTAAGTAATTCAAGTTCTGTGTGACACTAAGGCAAATATGACACCAATTTGATATTTGGTTGTTCTTAATCTAACACCTCTTAACCATTTGAAGTGTCGTGGTCCCTCTTGAGTATTTTATCAAACACAATGGATGCATAACGAACTCAAAATCTGGCTTGCTTCAAATGAACAATGCATTGCATGCAAAACTTTAATTATGTTACATAAAATCAAGGTACAAAGCAACATACCACCTATGACCTCAAATACCCAACACAGACAGATGCATTATTTGGTTCTAAAAGACATACGACTTTGCAGTTTTATACATTCAGCAGCTATAATACCCAACCATGTGGCTAACTATATTTCCCGAAAGTTGGGATATACACTTTAATTTCCCAGCATATATTGTCCAAACAGTGAAGGAGAGCAGGGAGAGGGGAAGCTTACAGTGCAAAGGAGAGTAGGAGACTTGGAGACAGGGAACTTTTTTCCAAAGCTGCTCACAAGCCCATATATATTTGTTGAAGGCACGAGGTCTGGATCGAAGTACAAAGCCCGTACAACATGAATGAGAAGGAAGTGAATAAAATAATAATGTGGGAAATTGATGAGGAAGGAGATGAGTATAGCTGAGAAAGAACCAGAGAAGGGAAACAAACCTGCACAATTGGCGCAAAAAGAAGGAAACGACGAGAGGCCAGCAGGCTTGGTTAGGGCAACTCCAACAAGCACCAATTTCTACACCAAAATGGTGTATTTGCCAAAAAAATGCTCCAATAGCAACACCATCTTTAACACCATTTCACCATTTTGGGGGAGAGCCTTTGGCTTTACGCCATATATGGTGTACACCAAATCAACACCATCTTCTTTTTCTATTTTTTATTTATTTCAAATGTGACCTAAAGTTTTGATTATTATAGTTTTGACCCATTTTTAAAACAACAAATTAGGATGTTTTTACTTGGACTGAAATTTGTTGGTCTGGTCTGATTTGGTCTGGTCTGATCTGAACTGATGTGGTCTGGTCTGATTTCTTTGTATTTTTATAACTATCTAAGTCTAGTATAATCCGGTCTGATCTGATCTGGGACAAATTACAGTCCAAATAAAAACATCTGTATAGAACAACAAATTAAAATTATTAATTTGATACAAAATAACAAAAATATAATAACATTTGTGAAATGCGTGAAAATACATATTAAAATGATGTATTTTAATTACTGAAATGCGTGAAAATACATATTAAAATGATGTATTTTAGTTTGTATGTGTGAAATAATGTGTGAAATATCAAAATATTAAATGAGGGGCTAATGTATAAATATATGATAGTTAGATACTTAAATTGAAGAATGGTAAAAAGTTAGTAAAAAGAATAAAAAGAGAATATTCTTTTTTGGTGATGAAAATGGTGTAAACTGTTGGAGATAAAATACTGTTTGATGTGATGTTTACACCATTTTAGTGTAAAAAATGGTGTTAACTGTTGGAGATGGCCTTAGGACGCGACCGCCAATTGAGGGGAGCTGAAGGTGTGGGAATCGAGGTTCACATGCAAAAGAGAGACGGAAGCAAATAACGGGAGTTAAAACGGCAAATTTAATTCCTTTAAAAAGTACACAAAGTAAAACACTATGTACAATCCAACAAAGCAAATGATTACACCAACACAATTTTCAGCCTTAAAATGCCCTAACCTTCATTGAGGATTATAAGCTTTTTTTTTTTTTTAAATAAAGACTTTAATTCATTTCTTCATTAAGAATATCCAAAATACAAGACGGAACATGATTAAAGATCGTATGAGAAGCATAATTAATAGACTTCCTAGCTAAAGCATGGGCGCTACTATTTGCTTTTCGTCTAGTGAAAACAACTTTAAAATTGTTTTTTGTTGCTAGTAGGGATTTGCAGTCCTCTAGAAGCGAACCATATTCTGAAATATCCTCCCGAGCTGAATGCACATTCTGAACTACTTGTTTTGAATCCATCTCGAAGATGAATTGTTCTTGATCCATGTTTTGCATCCAACTCATTGCTTGACGGAGTCCCCATACCTCTGCTTCTACCGGCGAGAGAGATGCTTTGCACCATTCCGACATAGCCATATAGAAATGTCCCTGATGGTCCCTAACGCAGCAGCCCATACCAGCCCTTCCATCCTCTATAAAGATAGCTGCATCAACATTGCATTTAAGGATTATAAGTTTTTAAGATAAGATGAATGATATAAATTCCCCAAGGATGCATTTTTAGGGGAAAAGAGGACAATAAACGAAAACAGAATACTATCTATTACATAAGGGCAGTTACGTCAATTTCACGGTTCCGTTTGGGTCAGATATGCTCGGGTCAGTCAATTGACCCGCTGTTTGCCCTTTTAAAAAACACAACTCTGCCAATTTGAGGAATTGGATTCGTACTTTCGCAAAAGATTAGGGATTTAGGGTATAAGCAAGATTTTTACACTGTGGGAAGGAGAGATGGGAGGCAAAGGACAGAAGAGAAGGGAGAAGAACTACAGAGAATCACATGGAGGAAGTGCCAGGCTCCCTCCGCCACCCGACCCATCCTCCGTCGATGCTCTCCCTTCAAAGCTCCTCAAACTCATGGCCCTGACCGGTTAGTTTGCATTCTAACTCAAATACAATGCGTATATAAATAGATATGATAGATCAACTTGGATTGCTTTAAAGCTAATCGTTCATACACTTTGTGGTTTATTGTTAATCTGTTGATTGTTCTTCTGTTTTTGAATTCGTTTTCCCTGTTCTTAGAAGCTGCAAAGAAACCACCAAAAAGCAGTGCAAAAGGAAATGACGGTGTTAGAGAGGTACAAAAAGCTTAATGTTTTTAGGATTCTGTTTTCACCAATTGTATTTCTGTATGTTTATCAGTTTGGGTAGGCTGTAGTTAGTATGTAAATAGATGTATTGCACAACTATCAGCTGCCCAAAACTTTTGATACAGTTTTATGCACTAAGAATGCTTAAAAGAAGACAATAAAGAAAAATGAAACATTAGGTAACCTGTGAAGTTTATTGTTTGCACTTTGCATAAACTTAAAGTAAACCCAATATATCACAGCTCTCTTGGACACCTCCTCACAGGTTTCTGTGAAAAAAATTGTGTAGTTGTTGAGGATTTGATTTTCAATAGCAAGTCATGAAGTCATCCAATTGTTCTGTCTGACTCTGCTATATATGCTTCTTGTCAACAGATGCTTCATGTGGAGGAGAAAAGCACTAGTAATATGTCTGGGGTCAAAAGAAAAACCAGTGATGAGAAGCCAGTAGAAAGTAGCGTTCCTGAAAAGAAAAGTAAGAAGAAAAGGAAAAAAGCAAATGATCTTCGATTTGAATCAACTGAAGAATTTGGCGGAACTAGTTCGAAAAGAAAGGAGCGCAGGAAGCAGTACATTTTTAACACTTTCTCGACTGAGTTTTCTTTTGTTGTTCTCTATGTCCCCTTCCTAAGCAAAGCTAGTGAAGGTTTCTTGAGAATAAATATTAATTTTGTTGAGTTTTTTTTGGCGAGGGCAGACGTGCATTTTCTTTTTACTGAAGACGCTGCAATTAAATGAAGAAGAAATAGATGTGCTATACTTTTCATTTTTATTTACTTATTTCTACGTTTTGAGCTCAAGCTCTAAACTTGTGATTGTTAAAGTGGCTTTTGTTTCACTTGTTAAATTGAATTGATATTGTTTTAAATAATGCAGGCGTTTGAAGGACAAGAAAAAGAAGGGTAAGAAAGCCAGTACACAAGAAGCTTTTGACTATCCTAAGCATGAGCAAATAAAATTTGGGGAAGTTGTTGATGCTCCACCAAAGCTGGGTGCTCTTCCAAAGGTAGATATAACTTTTTTAATAACTAGAGAAATACAAACTATGTTGCATGTACAAGAAAAAAAGTAATAAATAAATATATAAAACTGTAAACAGACACATCCTTATTTGATTAACTCATATCTATGTTTTTAAATAATACTATGGGATATAATTTAACAGTGCATGTTGATATAAAATAATATGAATAATGCCGAGTAATAATGATGTTTAACAATTGGCTTCAGCTTTCAGTGAAGTTTATAGATGTACTTAACGTTTATCTCTACAACCCTACGTGAGATGCATGATTTCATCCGATGTTAATGTGTTTTTGTCAACATCATCTTACTGTGAATTGAATGTTTTAATGTGTGTAATGGAAGGCACGGAAGATGACATTGGAAGCTTCACAAGAGAGACTTCGCCTAAAAGCAGTTGATGCCTACAGGAATAGAAAAGGATGGGCCTCAAGGCCAGGCATTCATCTCACTCCACCCATAACTGCATTGCCATCGTTGTAGCCGATTGACTATGTACCGTGTTTAAAAATCAATCTATCTTTTACGCGTGGTTTTGCCACTCATGTTTTTGGCTTCTCATTTTCATTGCTCAGTTTTTTATCCACTCATTAACATAAAGTAAGATAGAAGTTGTTATTCCATTTTGCTAAATGACTTCGTCGGTGACAATGCAGTCACAGATGGAGGTGCGGACGGGATTTGGGGGGGGGGGGGTGGCAGAGGGTGGTAGGGTTGTAGCTGTAAATAATAGTAACAACACCACAAGGTGGTGTGGAAGGGAAAACAGGGAGATGGTGGTGGTGTACATGAATCAATCGAATAAACAAAAATGAGGGCTCGTTTTTTATGTCAGTGATAATGTTAATATAATAAGCATTAATCCGATTCTGAGATACCAATACATCAATGGATATTGAAGTTAAGAGATACAACAGTTAGCTCAATATCACGAACTATAGAAGCCTAGTTTTTTTTATTATACGTAATGAAGACAATCTATCTTACAAAGTTACACTCCTATAGTCCTATGTATTAGCTTGTGGGATATTAATCATATTATTAGTCCGTGTCGGAATCGTTGTTCACTTGTGTTTATTTGATAAAGCTTTATCCTGGATAGAATAAGTAGTAATTTTGCAAGTAGGGCTGGATTCGGGCCGGGTCGGGTCCGGCCCGGGCCTAGGCCCGGGGGGCCACTAGTTCTGAATAGGTGGGCCCGGGTAGCCATTGGGTCCGGGTCCGGGTCTGGGCCTCGGGTCAATTTTTTTCTTTCCTTTTCCTAATTAACCCTCCCCCACCCCAACCCCCCAAACCACCCCAAATGGACCAAAATACCCAGCCCAACCCGAAAAGTTAAAAAGATTGAAAAAAAAAATTAAAAAGCCCAGAACCGGGCCCGAACCGGCCGGGCCGGTTCGGCTTTTGGGTGACCCGAGCCCGCACCGGGAACCCCCCGAGCCGGGCCTACTTGGACCGGTCACTGGCCGGGCCACTGGGCCGGTTCAGCACAGTACTGGTCCCGGGCCGGTTCCGGGTCGGGCCACCCGGCCCGAGTCCAGAACTATTTGCAAGACTTCAATAAACTGTTTCAGACCAGATTAGCTTTGTGTACAAAATGGGTAGTGAAATTTGAAACCAGTGGCGTATCCAGGATTTTCTTTGAGTGGGGGCAAATTTACATTAAAAAGATTGTTAATGTATTTTATTATGAAAGCAATATTACAAAAATAAATATAAGTAATATAGTAAGAAATAATTACATATATATGACTAAAATGAAGAGTGTTTACAAAAATGTGATTAGTGACTAGAGTAGTAATGAAATCATGACAACTTATATATAAATTTTGAACCATAGTTACTATGATCCTACATTGTAGTAATTATTAGTCACATTTTTTTAAACTAGTTTTATTTTGGTAATATTTTTGAAAAAAAAAACCATATAGGAATATAGTAATAGGCAGCTTATTTTCTTTCACAATTTATTAATTAATACAGGTATAAAGATTTATTTGAATAGTTAATTGTTCATTTTAATCACTATCTTATTCAATTGTGAATTCTGAAAAGTTGTAAATGTGTTTATATGATTGTAGTCTTGTACGGTGAGGTATTGCCATATTTTTATTTGTTTTTATTACGAAGTGGTGAATTGTCAAATACTAAAATGATTAATGTATTGTTTTGCACAAAAAAATGATGAATGTATTTAATTATTGATACTCTTATTTGGTTATGTACGGAGTATTACATCTTAATTTTGTGATAGAGTTAAAATTTGATCGTTAAAATTTGGATGGTAAATAAAAGGAGAATGTTAGAAAAATCAGTCCCAAGTCAAAATGGTTCAATGGAAAAAGTTTTCAAAAATTGCTTGCAATGAATATGTCCTATAAGTAACTAGGGCTGCACAAGAATAACCCGAACCCGCATAACCCGCCCAACCCAACCTTACCCGACCCTATTTAATCGGGTATTTTATTTTTAAAAATATTCATGGGTTAAATATGTTTGAACCCGCATCTAATGGGTAGGGTTGCAGAATTAAAATCTCAAACCCGATAGTACCCGATCCGGCCGAAGTTCTTTTTACTATTATTATGCTACAACGTTTTCTTGGATAATTTCAATTTAAGGCCAATGTGCTCTATCTAGGACTTTATGATATTATAATTTTAATTAAACATTTATCATTTTTGACTAGGTGATTATTATATATTTGCGTTTCCTTCTAAATGAACTTCCTTTACGGAAGGATGTTTTAATACTATAACCTAATGTTTGTGTGTTTTGGAAACAAGTTAATCGAGTTTTAAATTGGTTACATTAATTTCCCACATGAAAGATGCAACCCGAAGTGATTTTTTTCCCCAATACCCGACCCTACCCGACCCGTTCATGCATGGTTTACCAACTTATTTTGCGTGCCGCAGGTTGGTTAATAGCCCACCCGAACAAATCGGGTAGGCCCAAAAAATATAGCAAACCCGATCCAACCCGCCCGATGTGCAGTCCTATAAGGTACCGATGTCAAAAATGTTTTATCAAGAAAATGTATTTGGAACTCTTTAAGCAAATTCAGCTATTTTAGCCATATAGCGCAATTTTAACAGGAGTTTTTAACTAAGCAACTGATGTCACATTTTGAAACAGGTACATATTTTATTTTTCTACGTAGTATTAGTGATTTCACATAACTAAACTTTGTCTCCTACTCTTATGCTACTTTTAAAAGTAAAGTTAATTTCTACTATGTTATTGACTTAGGTATATTGCTCTCATCAAATATGACTATACTCTTTTTATTCTCAAAATAGAAGTACTATCTATGTCTTCTTCAATTCATACTGTTCTAAAAATCGCTCTAGACGGTTACGCACCCAACTAGTCGCCTAAGCGCTAGGCAGTGACTGGATGCCCTGATTTTAGTCTAGGCCGGACTCACATCTTGAAAGATGCAAAGAACCTAAAATGCATCCTTATGTCCATGTGGTATTTCTAT